CCCCAAAACCCCAAAACCCCAAAACCCCAAAACCCCAAAACCCCAAAACCCCATTTGCAGGCAGATATAAGCCTCAGATGACGTAGTTATTATATAAATTATTTAATCTCAAATTAATATGAAGTAAGCGACCACGTCAAAGTGGACTGGCGGATCTAATCTTTACATTTAGGCTGATCTCTAACTCGACCAACAAGCATGAAGACTCTGATAGTGACAAGAAATCAAGCAAAAGTGGCAAGAGTACTGAATTCATGGATGATGGTAAGTTCATATTTCCCTCACCAGGCTTTTTCAGCAAAAATCTTATGGGTGTTATAGATGCTAGAAGAAATCACAGGCTCAACCAAAACAGGATCAGTGCAATGAAATGTAGGCAAAAGAAGAAGCAGCAGTTTGCTGAGTTGATGGAGAAGAAATCTACGTTAGAGAAAGACAACCTTGAACTCAAGGAAAAGGTAAAAATTTTGTCGATAATATATAGTATGACAGCATTCAGAAGCAATTGAAGGAGACCAAGGAGGAAAATGACGATCTTAAGAAGAGGCTAGACTTTATGGAGAAACAACAGGAAATCCTCTTTAGTATTGTCAGCGAGTCTAGAAACAACGCTTCACGGAATAACTACCAGCCACCCGTTGTTCAAACTCAGCCTGCTAAATTTTCTAATCCTTTTTCATTCTTGGGAGCAAATGTCAATCACCTTATGGGAGCCCATATGGATCAATTTGCCAGTACTGGATCGGAACAAAAAGTTGGAGCTGTGAACAGCTCCGCTTTCAAGCCTTCCAAGTGTTCATCACCGAGTGATGAAATTAACAATGGTCTAGCTTCACCAACTCCGCAACTAGCTCAAATGAGCTCGGTGGGTCTTGGTTTAGACCAAAATGTCGGGAGCGGCATCTCTCAGACACAGTTGTTGTCTGGTATTTGTGCAACTCTCATGGGTAAGCAGATGTAAGTCTCTTCCCCGAATTGTTATTAGTGTCAATATTCTTCAACCGAGATGTGTTTATAAGGGGTTTTGGGGTTTTGGGGTTTTGGGGTTTTGGGG